TTGTGCTGCCAGGGTGTCAGTATCTGAACTTGAATGTGTTTACAGAGCAGCTGGATGATGCTAACACTTCATCAGCTACTTAATTCTGACCTCCGAAGTAACTGCTCCATGGAAGGCGGAGCTGTTGAGATGTCACACTTAAAGCCACTTTCTGCTACCCTTTTGTCCTAAGAAAAGAAGTCAAAGCCCAGCTTGCTGCTTCTAAGAAGTGTCTGCATGTTCTAGTCCAATGCAACAGCCTGCAACTGATTCACTCCATGCTGGTGGCAACCTTCTCCACACGCATGCATTAGATGTGACCTTCACTGCTGAAAGTCAATGGGAATTCCTTGCAGAACACCCCAGGGATTAAGAAAAAAAGAAGACTAAAACAATGTGGAGGAGAAAGAATAGCAACACAACTGGAAAGAATTACGCTGTGTCTTACAATGTTGGAATGCAGATTATGCTGAGGGAGGTAGGGGGAAGGGAAACCAGAAAAATTTCAAAAAAAAATGGAAAAATGTCCAGCTTTCTACACATGAACCCAAACCCCCTATAGTGTCAAGAAAGCAGAAACTTAAACTGTCACAAGAAATACAATGGGCTGTAAAGAAATCCTATACCACTTATCAGGAGAAAAAGCCTTGCTGGATACCAATTCCTTAAAAAGGGGTATGGCTTTAGAGCTGCAAAAACAAGATGCACAAACTTTTCTGTGAGACTGTGTTAGTAAGTCACAGGTGCCATTCTCAGGGGGGAAATTTACAATTTTTTCATCCTCATCATGGAAAATTCCCACACTACTTCAAAGTGTTGCAACCCAGCTAGTACAGGTAAGATCATGGTTTTCAAAAGCTGCAGAAAAATGCAGTGTTGTCCTTCACAATATATATTATTTTTAGAAATCACCATCACTCAGACCTTCAAGCTAAGGATTCTATGTATCTCCCTCACAGGCAGCATGAGATCAGAGGTGAAAAACCAAGACAGGATAAAAGGGCTAAAGAAAATCACTTTAATAAATCCACCAGAAATCAATGGGAAAATCAGTTTCCACTCTGCTGGTCCTTTCTTATGATCAAAGTTTAAACATAGTTCTTAAAAAGAGTGCAAAGGGACCCAAGGGTGCATTTTTATGTGTGCTCCTATGCAGTTTGCATGAAAAAGAAGGGATTCTCTGGACATTGAGATTCACGCTTTTAATCCTTGCTACTCAAGAAGCTGAGAACTAAGATCACAGTTCAAAGCCAGCCTGGGCAGGAAAAGTCCCTTGAGTCTCTTATCTCCAATTAACCACCAAAAAAGCCAGAAGTGAAGCTGTGGCTCAACATGGTAGAGTAAAAAGGCTAAAGGATACCGCCCAGGGCAGTTCAAGCCCCAGAACCAGCACCATAATTTTTTTTTTAAACTCAGGGATTGCTTTTTTTCTTCTTTTCCAGAGTAATTATCATTAACTTGGGTGCTAGAACACCTAAAATCTGAGCTGAAGCCAGACAGATAGCGCATACCTATAATCTTAGCTAGTTGGAAGGGAAAGATAGAATCATGGATCAAAACCAGCCTGGGCAAAGAAAAGTTCACAAGTCCCTATCTTAACAGAAAAGTCTGGGTATAGTACATGCACTGTCACCCTATCTATAAAAGAAGCATAAATCCTAAATAAGTGATCATGGTCTAGACTAGCCTAGGCTAAAATGAACAGAAACAAAATATGAACAGAGAAAATGACTGCGGCATGGCTCAAGCAGTAGAGCACCTAACTAATGAATACAAAGTCCTGAGCTCAAACCTTAGTAGCACTAAAAACAAAACAACAAACATTTGAGCAGTAAGATTTGAGACTATCAGAAGAAAACCCAAAACTGAGTTATTGCTTGTGACTTTCAGAACATCTTCATCTTGAGAAAAAGCACAACACACAGGTAAGCGCTAGGCAGGTACCATACACCAGACCAGGTTATAAAATTACCAAGCTCGTGATAAAATTTGGCTAAATCCCTTAAATGGGTTTTCTTTTGAGACAGGATCTCACTGCATAGCTAATGTTGCCTTGGGAACCCTAATTCTCCTGTTTCAGTATTTCAACTGCTGGAATTACAGAGGTATGCACAATGCCTGGTTAAAAAAATGGTATCTGTGGAGACACCAGTCCATGGAGATACCACTTACTGGATAAAATTGGCGTGGCCTGCTATCTTTCATCTGGAACACCAGCCTAGAAAAACCACCTGTGCAGCAAACCACCCTGAAACACACTTTGCTGTAAATAAGACTGACCCATGGTGGCTTTTTAATAATTAACATATTCATTGATTCAAAATCTACAACCTGGATTCATATTCAAGACTAGCTAAAGTTAGCCCAGCCTTTTGAACTATTTAGTGATGTAAGGAAATGGATGATGTCTTTCAGAGGATTGAGGCTCTTCCTTCGAAGGGAGATCAGGAAAGAAATCCCAGTCTCATTAATGAATGTCCAGTTGGCAAACACTTGATTTCATACGAACACCACAATTTCCTGTTTTGCTTTCCTACTTCTTCCCGTAGGATGACAGGAAATATGTCATGGCAAAATGTGTCAAACATTGGCTGGTCTTCACCTCCTTCCAAATAAAAAAGGCAAAAGAAAACGAAAACTTAACGTTCCTATGGATTTTATTTTGAAGCACAAAGAGCATAAATATGTATAATAACATATAAACAAAAACAGCATCATATGCATATATTCACAAATGTATTAACTAAAGTAGGGTATATTCAGGAGAGGATTCAATGGCTGTAACTCCTTTGAACAATGACAGTTTAACAAAATGAATACCAGGGAACTGGAACATATGTTTATGTTGTCAGGAGTAGGTGAGGTCAAGGGGAGGAGGTAGAGGAAGGAAGAGAGAGAAAGTGGGAAAATGCAGTTGTATTATTCAATGTACATATGTGAAAACGGAACTAGGAAAATTGAGGGGAAAGGTAGGGGTGGGGAGAGATGGGGGAGCATCGTGAAAGAGGTGACCTTAATGAAGAGCATCATGCTCACAAATGGATGCTGAATGGAAACCCCTTTGTACAACTACTTAAAGATAAATTTAAAAAATTAGATAAATATGCCCTGTTGTCACTGTATTTGATTTTGGTATCCTGAAACAAAATGCTGAGACAAGGACACAGGATGACCCATTGCAACAATGAGACTCACAAGACACTATGTTAGAAATGATCTTTACAACTTTGGATGTGGAGGTGGAGGGGGGAAGGGAAGGAGGGGAGGAGGGAAGGCATAGTAGGAAAAAAACAAAGGAGGGGGTAACTGCTCAACAAGAAACTGATGAAACTGATGTAACTGTAACCCCTCTGTACAACATCTTTACAATAAAATAATTTTTAAACTAAATAAATAAAAATAAATGCTTTACTTTCATATTTATTTATTTTATGCTGGTCCTGTGGCTTAAGCTCAGGCCCTGGCCACTGTCCCTGAGCTTTTGTGCTCAAGGCTAGTCCTCTACCACTTTGAACCACAGTGCCATGTCTGGTTTTCTGGTAGCTAATTAGAGATAAGAATCTCACAGACCTTCTTGCCTGGGCTGGCTTTGAACCAAGATCCTCAGATCTTAGCCTCCTGAATAGTTAGAATTACAGGCATGAGCCACTAGTGCCCAGCAAGACTTATTTTTAAATGCATGAAATCCCTTAGTCCCTTTCTCCAATGTCTGCAACAAAACTCACATAGAACTGTGTTTTTTATTTTTGCTAAAGAGGAAAAAAATAACAAAGGAAATTTAAATAAAAGGACCAAATATCTAAAATCTATTAACCAGATTTGCGTATTACAGTAACTGAATTTCAACAATGGTCGAATGCCCATATTTATAATAGCAGGCAGACAAATAAACTATAGTGCTACCTGGTGTCTCCCTGCACTGAGGAGAAAACACCAATATATTGGTTACATACAATGCCAAGGCTTGAAAGACAAGAGAGTATGACCCAGTTTTAAGAGCTATGTTAGTATGGGGATGATTATCACCGAGAAGGTAGCTTTGGGCTCTCTGAAACCAGTCAAAAGGACACAGAGAAACTCCACCAGCAGGGGTGGAGTTCATCATCTCTCATATATGGATTATTACACATACAAAGAGAAACCACAGACCTCCACAGGCCATCATTATCCCACAAGTATGCTTCCAAATCTGAGGAGCAGCAGAAATGAAGGCTCAGAAACAAAACCGGGCACTTTTCATTCTGCAATATCCTGTGCACATCAGGAAAGATGTCATGAAAATCTGCTGACATGTCAAAATATGTCCAAATGACACTCAAGTGTATGCTGAACCTTCATTGCACAATTCATTTAGAAAGAATTCTTTCATCATGTTTAGCAAGAAAGTAAAATCATTGGGTCAATTTCAACACCAACTTTCCACAAAATAACTACCAGAGCAACACTGACTCAATCCTCACACAAAAGAACCAAGACCTTCTACCGACTAGAAAGCAGATGAATTCCAGCATGCATTGGTACAAATAGGTCAAATTCTTCATCAAGAATACCAACAAGACCAATCTCGGTACCAAAAGGATGTTTTTCTACTTCTTCTTTAAGTAATCAAGCAAATCTCCTTTGTTACTCCCAACGATTGGCACCAGTCTGAATTTAGATGCAACCATGCAAGCCCTGGGCAGGACCTCCAATGTTCTAGCCTGTGATTATATAATCATGTTTTCCATACTGAAAAACAGCATGGGATATCAGAAAGCTTCCCTTAAGTCAGCCGATCACATCTTCATAAAGGATTCGCATTTGCCTTAAAATCCAGACACATAAACTCCCTTGCATCCACTTTAATGGACAGTAACAACAGCACAACTGAAAAGAAACTTAGCAAATCCTTCGCCTTCTCCTCTTTAATCATCTCATATGCTCTTGCTCAGCAGAAGAGAACCCAAACTCCCACATTTTCTTTGTCTTCCAAAAAGAGCCAGCCTTGTGAAAGGAGGAGAGAATGAAAACCAGATGCGCACCTTCACTGGTAGCCACATTCTTCTGGGCTTTGGTTGGCGTGTGATCTGTACTTGAACTCACGTCGGATGAGATGCTTGAGCTGCCTTTGCCTGGAGAAAACAGGAATGAGCAACTTGTGAGTGCTGTAATTTCGGAACTGCCCCGTGTCTTCCCCACAGCCCCACACTGAGCCACATCATTTGTTTTCGAGAACGAAGCTACCATATCAAGAATGAACTTTATTAAAGGCTTTTGCTTTATGTATTAAATATCTTTGGGGAACTATCTGACCCAAATTAAAGCAGAACTAAAGCCCTCTCATAATATGTCTTGACTATAAACTCAGGCAAGATTATCAAACATGGTCAGTTATGATCACGTAATCTTACTTTGGCATCCACGTGAATCAGAATGTACGTGTAGGGAACACATCTACTGCATTAGTTTTTATTTGCAACTATAAACTATACATTTCTCAGTAAAAAGAAATAAGCAAATCTAAGGAGGCATTATCTGGGGAGAAAGAACCTGCTGTTTTCACACAGATGCATTGCTTTAAAAACAAATGCTATGTTTTAACAGGTCCTTAAAAAAATACAGTTCAATTTTCTAGTACAAGATTTCTCAGCTGGGGAGGATTGTCCCATCCAAGGGGACACGGGGCAATGGCTTTTTCGGTTTTGCTTGTCACTGGGCAAGAACACTACTGACACCTCTGTGAGGGCCAAGGATGCATTTCACCATCTGAGAATGCAAAGTAGAGTTCACCAATGAGAGAAGAGTGAGCCAGCTCAAGGGCCAGAGGTTGAGGAGTCCTGGCCTAAGTATCATCCCTCAAGGCAGGGATGAGTTTCTACACCTCTAGCTTTTAATATAATCACTACATAATCATGGATAATCACGTACATTAAAAGTGACAAACCTTCTCCAAATGCCACAGAAAGGAACGGAATTCGAAGACCTCCCTATATGACCCATGTTCTTGCGTCACCTGTTCCATCTTTGTGTGGGAAGAGCCTGTGGTTGCCTTGAACTGATACCATGTGGCAAAGGGGAGGGCATTTGGCAGATGTGATTGAACTTTTTAAGAAGCAATTATATATATATATATATATATATATGTGTGTGTGTGTATGTATGTATATATATGTGTGTGTGTGTATATATATATATATATATATATAGGCCACATTTTCTTGATCCATTCATCTACTGAGGGGCACTGGGTTAGTTCCATATCTTAGCTGTGGTGAATAATGCTGCAATATGCTTCCATCAGAAAGAATGACATTGCCCCATTTGTAAGGAAATAGAAAGACTTGGAAAAAATTATAGTAAGCGAAGTAAGCCAGACTCCAAAAAAACATAGGCTGCATGGTTTCCTTCATTTGTAATAATTAAATATGTCTAGATATTCTTAGCAGAGGATTGCAATAACTCAATAGCTATGAACATATGAACATATAAAATGATGCTTATTAAAATGAACTCCAAGAAATGGAAACAAGAAGGTTTTTTAGTGTATTCTTTGCAGTTATTTCTTTTTTCATTCTTTTTTTTCCTCCTTTGGTTTATTCATGTTATCATTTTTAAATTTCTGGACCCTTTGTTTTGTATACAAGTTTATCTGATTTGGGGATGGGAAGGGGAATCACAGAAATGCAGGGGAAAAGGGTGAACGGTGAGCCAATGCAACAGTCATACTTACTGGACACTATGCTGGAAATGAACTTTACAACTTCAAGAGGAGGTTAGTGGAGGGAGGAAGTAGGAGAAAATGAGGGAGGGTTAATACTGTTCAAAAAGAAATGTCCTCGATTCTGGTGCCCTGCATCTTGTATATACATTTTTCTAATTTGGGGAGGGAAAGTAAAATAACAAAATGCTGAAAGAAGGATAAAGGATGAACCATTGTAACAATGAGCTGTATAAGACACTGTGTTGAAAATGCACTTTACAACTTTGTGGGGGTTGAGGGGGAGGAGATGGAGGAGTTGGGAAGGTGGGGAGAAAAGGATGGTAGGGGAAATTAAAAGGAGGGTGTAACAATGCTCGATAGGAAATGGACTTGATACCTTGATCATGTACCTGTAATCCCTCTGTACAGTATCTTTACAAAAAATACATATTAAAAAAAGAAATGTATTCATTTTCTTAATTACTTAACTATAACCCTTCCATATATCACCCTTTACAATAATTTTTTTAATGAAGCAATTGTAATTAATCCAAAAGGAGATTTCCCTAGGTGGCCTTGTCCTAATTGGGCAAGTGCTTGGATTTTAGTGTCTAGAGAAGATATACCCTTGAAGCTCAAAGCTCCATGCACACTACTGGTAGACAGACATGAGTCCTGATAACTATGTTAGCTGGGAAGAGGACCCAAGAACTGGAAGAAAGAAAAGGAAGGTGAGGGGAAAGAGGGAGGGGAGATGGAAGGAGAAGGGAAGGGAGAGGGAAGAGAAAAGTTGGGGATGGGGGAAGGGAGAGAAGGGAAGGAGGAGGGGGAGGAGAAGGGGAGGGAGAACAGCTCTGGTGCTTTCTAGAGCTTTTTGACATCCTGAACAAAAGACCCAGTAAATCCATGCCCAGAATTGTGACCCAAGGAACCCTTTAAAATAAATATACCTCATATCATGCTGCTCAGGTACGGTAAATTTATGCAGCAATAGAAAATTAATGCCAGCACCATGTTAGTGTATCAAGAATTCATTTTTTTAATCCACACATTTTGATCAAAACTCTTACATTCTGCCGAGAAATGGTTTACCAATAGTATCCCCTAACCAACGGTAAGCACAATCGACTGAATGTTTACATTCCCCAAATTCATATGCTGAAATGCTAACCAAGAAGGATGTGGCATTTGGGAGAAGGAGGCCCTTTGGAAGGCAACTAATTCATGAAGGTGGATCCCTCAACACTGGGATTAGTGCCCTTAGAAGAGCTCCCTGTCCTCTCCAGCCAGCCAAGGACACAGAAGCAGCTGTGCCTGACCCAAGAAGAAGGTCTCTGGCAAACAGCCACCGTTCTGGAACCCAGATCTTAGGTTTTCCAATCTCCACAACCTTGAGGAATAAGTGTCTGTTGCATATGAGTTACTGGGTTATAAAAGTTGATTATAGCAGCTTACAAAGACAAAGACAGTACACAAGCCCACCAGTTAAGGCAGAGCGACCCTAAAGACTAAATTCATACTGAGTAGAAAAGCACAAAGTGGGGATTTAAAGAGCTTCAGGATTCTACTTGCTCATGTTGAAAATCATGGAACAACTCTCTTGAGTAACCTCATTAGAGGAAGGAAGGAAAATGGTTGATGGTTTTCTTCTCCCATTGTCCTCACTGTGACTTTTAGCTCTGGGACAAGTGTATTATTTACTTTGTCTCTATCCATTACATTGGCCCTTAGCATGTGATTAACCAGCCTCTGGGGCCTGATCTTTTGTGGTCTACGTTTAGAGATAGACACAAAACACAGGGTTTTGGGTTGGACAGATGTCCTCCTGGTTTCTGGTTACAGTTTCCCTTGTTTTTGCCAGGCTCTGAGGCCACATCTGGCAAGGGAGGTGGATGGACTAACTAGTTCCTAATGGTTCACAAAGCCTATGATTTATAAAGCTATTACTTACTCTTCTAAGCTGGGTAATGAGAACACTTCCCCCCACCAAAAGAAAACATTATTGAGCACCACCAATATACAGACTTAAATTATTTTAATTATATTATTGCTTGGTGATATACAAATGGAACACTATAAATTCATTCCATGTGCTCTATTTCTAATTCAACCAGAAAACCAAAACAAAATAAGAAACCAGTCACAAAGCAGTAAAACACGTAACATTTAAATTAGCAGCACTAATTTAACATGATAGATGATGTTATTTTGCTGAGATTAACTTGCTTTTCAAACTTCAATGTAATACTGGCTGATAAAGCCCATGTTCTTTTGGTTTGGGCATGCCTGTCCTACACTGGGCTATGTAGGAACCCAACCTGCCCATCCTTTTCCTCCACTCTTCTCTGGGGGACTGCCTCTGTTACAGCCAAGTGATACATCAAGCAGGATGTCATTTTAGTCTCATTATTTCATTAGCATTTTTAAGTTTAGTCTTCTAGAACCATTCATGCAGATCCCTTCCTTAGAAAACAAGACACTTGGACACTGAACTCTTATAGCAAGCCTCTGTTATAAGTAAAATTACTATATAATGAATACAATGGAATCCCATGCTTCCATCAGAAAGAATGATATCACCCTATTTGTTAGGAAATGGAAAGACTTGGGAAAAATTGCATTAAGGGATTACATTTACATTTCTTGTCTAACTTGTTACCCCTTCCCTCAATTTTCTCCCTCTTTCCCTCTCCCTCATCCCTCCAAGTGATACAGATCATTTCCAACATATTGTTCTTTTAAGTATCACTGTTTCATAGGTATAATTTTTAACTGACACATAATGACCACATATATTTATCGGTTAGTTTGATGTTTGAATATACCATAGGTCAGGATAACTAGAATAGTTATCACCTTAAACATTGTGTGTGTGTGTGTGTGTGTGTGTGTTTGTGTTAGGACTATTCATTTTAATATTATCACCAAAAGCCACACATAGCCACAAGAAAGGATGAGATTGGATGGATAATAATTCCAGGCAAATCCTGGGAAATAGTTTCCAAGACCTCTTCTAAGACAATATCTGGGTGAAATGATGTATGCCTGTCATCCTGGGTCCTGTAAGGAAGCTAAAATAGGAGGATGCAAGTCTGGGCACATCCCCAGGCAAAAAGTGAGACTTCATCCCAATATAACCAGTGCACAATAAAAAAGAGATAGAGCATCCAGACACCCATGGCTCGTAATCCTGGCTACTCAGGAGGTTGAGATCTGAGGATCATAGTTCAAAGCCAACCCAGGCAGGAAAATCTGTGAGACTCTTATCTCCAATAAACCACTCACAAAACCAGAAGTGGCACTATGGCTCAAGTGGTAGATTGCTAACCTTGAGCTGAAGAGCTAAGGGACAGTGCCCAGGCCCAGAGTTCAAGCACCACAACTGAGATACACACACACACACACACACACACACACACACATACACACACA